CTGTAAACCGCTTAGAGAGGGCTGAAAGCCCTATGAAGCGGTATATAAGTCTAACTGCTATTACTATTATTGCTATAAAGAACTCTGATGTAGCAACTCCTTTGCATTAATTAAGATGTTTCTTGTTGAAGGCCAGTTTCTCCAGATGTGCTCACCAATGGCAGATAACACTGACTCTTTTAGCAAGAAAGCAACACATGCTGGAGTAGAGATAGAAGCTTCTAAACAGCTTCTGCCACAAGAACAGAAAAACTCAGAATCTGTCTGTGTCTCTTTAAGGAAAGTTTGAAAATTTGAGAAATATGGCATGACATAACCAAGCAGCAGCATTCTCTACTTTGAGTCAAGAACAGCCTTTATTTCCCATGCTAACAGAATAATTAAACATTCTGGTTTTAATAAGTGTTAATAGGATTCTGGTAGGGATATGTGTATGTGTGTGTGTGTGCACTAATGCAATTGTTAAAAATTAATCATAAAGTAAAAATGTGTTCATTAACCTCTTTTTATAGATTCAGTATGAAGCAATAAAAAGTACACATATAACCCATTTGTTATATATCTACCGGTATCTCTACTTGTCAACAGATCTTTTTTGAAACAACATTCATGCAACATGCTTTACTAGGTTAAAGGTGGACTTAAGCTGACATGCAAACACAAATGTGTGTTTTTTTTTGTACAATTTTGTCATTTACCTGCAATACATAATTTTACATAATTCTCTTTTAAGAATGTAATTCAATGTAAATTTCAATCTTTACTTCCACATACTCTCCAATTGGTCCCAAATTTATATATCCAGATTTTTTGTCCATTTTATCATACAATATTTAACTCGCTCTTTAACTTGTTTCAATTTTCAATAAACGTTTATACCTCACAATTCCGAAACAAAATTAGTTTTATCCTTTTCAAATTTATAATTCTTCTTGAATTATGATAGGGAAATATGATAAGGAAATCAATGCCATGTAAAATAGTTCTGATTTTAATTGTGGATTAATATACAAACTATTCACTGAGTCTTTTTCAAACTTGCTAATATAAATTCTTCACCCAAAGTCCTATAAATGAAACACTTCACATCTTTTCCCCTTATATGTGTTTCTTGTAAACAAAAATATATTATATATCTTGTTTCAATTTTTGTCAAATAATGAAATCTTTTTTCTTTTTGAAAGAGCATTTGTTCTCTATATATTCCATGTTAAAAATCTGTAAAACTTAAAACATTACAACATTATTAGAGTTTTCAAAATTACTTTTTACCCTGCAGAGATAACAAAAGATAAAGTACCTATAAGGAAGAAAACAAATTAGTTGGTATATCTGTTTTCAATGATCGCCATGATGGTTTTAGAAGTGAATTTTTGTGCACCAAATCAAAAGCTTGGTTTTGGGAAAAAGAATGTTTTGTTGGATATAAATGTCAAACAGATTCAGTCTCCAGCAAATTGCATTGCATCTAGGCTCCAAGATGTGTTTTTAATCTTTAAGTGCTATAGCATGCCAAATTTCTATTGGGAAAGCTAATTAGGCTCTTCTTACATCAGATTCCCAGATGAAGCCAGCACTCCATTAGGCCTCTAAGTGAGGTGTTAGGGAGACTGGATCAATTTCTTTTTTTCCACTTCTATCCTCTTAATCCAAAAATGGTCCTCATGTTATTTGTAATAGAGTATATAAACAGTAAATTCAAACAGCTGCTGGGAATATAATTCATATCAATCTGCTTGTTATAATTAAGACTGAAGTTCCACTCCTGCCTAGGATTATGAAAGGCCTTCCTGATCTTTTACTTAATAAAAATATAACTTTTATTAAGTGTACCGTATGACTGTTAAGTCATGCTGAGAGAAGGCAGTATATATGAGGTCGTAAAGACAACATGTATTTCCTCCAGCTGCCCTTTGATTTGGAATCAGACTGGTAAATTGTTTTCCTTACTATGTACAGTATAAAGGCCTTTCTATTCTTTTGAAATTTACTTAGATTAATATTGAAACACAAAAGGGAAATCCTTTAATGTCGTCTGGACTGATAAAGCACAAAAAGCTTCAACAGGAAACAATTGTCCACACTATATATTTATTTTTTAGATTTGTTACATCAAACCTTTCCTTCAAAAATAGGCACACATACTATTCTCAGGATTTAGATACAACCAAAATGTATTGCCCAATTACATTCTACATATGTTTGGAAGGGGAGGGGCGGTGCCTACAAGTTAGTATTGATTAGTGGAGGTTGCTTGAATCCCTGCAGTTTTGTAAGCATCGTTTTCATAATTGATTTGTCATTTGCCATAGTGATGACAGTGACTACCAAGGTCTCAAAATTGGCTTTGTGTCTAACACAGGACTAGAACTCACCGTCTCATCATTTCTAATCTTGACCATTGCACCAAACTGTCTCTCTACTATTTACAGAAAAAGACAATTTATTTCCAACATTCAGTCATCAACTGAATATTTTTCTTTTTTCTCAAATTTCCTTTCTCATACTTTAAAGATAGGAACATTTGCTGTCCTCCAGGCATCTTCATTCCCCCAAATTTCTCAATACATAAAGATGCAACCAAATTATCAAATCCCTTTAGTATCCTAGGACACATTTATTCTATCACTGGAGGTTTAATATTCTTCAATATATGTAGGCAATCCTGTTTATGTCTCTATCAAGCTGTAGTTTTAATTATAGTCCTTCAATCTACTCTTCTCAATTGCTCTTGGAACATTTACACTCTTGTAGAGGACAGAAGGAATGGCCTGGAAGGACAGAAGGAAGAACCACTACCAAGACAAAGGTCAGATATAAGGGGAATAAGCTCAGGCCAAAAAAGTAAGTTGAGTAAAAGTCTCAGAAAGGCCTCTCCCTAGACTGCCACTCCATTTCCAATGTGTATCAATTTTAAGATTTTTTTTCAGTTACCTTTATGTCCTCTACTTATTCTATTTTATTTCCTCCTTATTGAATAATTTCCAATCTCTCTCTATCTTTTATATTTCTATTAGTTTCCACTGCCATGGAATTGAACTAACTATTGTCTGTTTATTAAAATCTGTTTGTTAAAATTGAAGGCTATTACAATAATAAATTGAATTCCATGACAATTCCAGGCCAGCTATGTATGTAATCTTCACTATTTGGCCTCTATTTCCAATATATATCCTCCTTTTTTTTATTAGGGTTTTTTTATGAGTTACATTTGTTTCTTTTACTATGTTCTATTGCACTTCCTCTCCATTAGAATAGTTTCTATTTTTTCTCCTAAACCTCTTGTTTAGGATAAAATCAAAAACAGCTGATCCCCTTGAATTCTCATCTAAGATTCTTTAGGAGAAACATCATCCAGGCAAGTCAGGAATTTCCTGGAGAAGACGTGCTTGGTAGAATTTGTCAGGATGTCAAGATAATTAATCTGCCATCTTTGCAAATCTTTCAGTACGGCAAGTAATAGTAATGTGCTTGGCTGGAAGTGAACACAGTCAATAGTATTGTTTCCTTTTAATCGCCTTATTTTGTTCCAGATGCTTGCAATAGGGCCACCAAATTCATTCCCATGGATTTTTATATCATCTGTTATCAATCTTCATTTCTTTTTATATGAGCACATTATAGCAAGCAGTGTATGCTAATAATTCTACTTATGTTTATTAATGCACAGTTCCCCACCCCCATATTAAAGAGTTTGACATAATTTTATTTCCTGTAAGAGGAATCATTTTTAATGGGCTAGTGGACAAATCTGAATTCTGAGAAATCATTGTTGCTGTTGTACTTGCCTATTCACCACACAACTGCGATAAACTGCAGTTACAAACCACTGATTTACCAAAAAACAAGCTGAATTTAACCCATCCCTAGATTTTGCTTGGGGATCTCACCTGTTTTTCTTTCTTGTTTTGTAAAAAAGTACATCTTCCATTGTTAAGAAAGTACATACATCTTCAACTGGAACAACTTGTCTACAGAA